GCAATATTCAAATTAAAGATTTCCGGAATTAAAGTTGGGATCATCCAAGCTTCCACTATAGTAACTCATAGTTAGATTGAATGAATTTATTGACACCATATATTTGATCATACTACAAATGAGCGTAAATCAAACACTTAAAACATAATTAAAAATTTCAGGACATTATTTGAAGAAACAAATAGCCTTCAAATCTCGTGTTATCAAATTAAACGACTCAATGAATCGAATTCAACGCATGATCATTTGATTATAACATCATTAAGGCACTCTAATGTTGGATAAATGATCAATTATTAAGGAAATCAATAAAGATCATTTGTTGTAGTGTTTTGGATTCCCATTAAATTTATAAAATTGTCCCTCTAAAAAACCTATAGATAAGATATCATTTTCTACATGAAAATGGTTCGAAAACTAATAGAGCTAAGAACAAACTTTATTGCATTTTACAACCACCAGTGTCTGCAATCACTGTCATCATTACTTCACTTCCATCATTCAACTATTATCACTTAGATGGTAATATCCAATATCACTATTAGACTCCATATTCCTTCCTATAGATGCTTGCCTTCTATAATCCTTAATATGAAAGCCAAGCTTTTTAGTTGTGCTTCTTCTTTCAATTGTTAAGAAAAATGGATTCTTAAACTAACAAATATATGATGTATTATTACAACCAAGTCAAGCCCCGTAATTTTTCCCTTTTTGAGTTTTTTTCATGTAAAAAAATCTAGTCTCTTGTAACTTCTATCTATGGGTGCTTGATTTTTATACAAAACTAAGATATTAAAAATATTCTCTATTGTTATAAATTTTCTAGCACATAATAATTGTAATGGTCTGATCCACTAAGGATACTAAGTTTGTCGTAGAAGAGGAGTTGACGCCTTGGACTTCAACTTTTTTTTTTTTTTATGGACTTCAACTCTTCAATATACCATCAATAAATTATTATTAAATATCATTTAAATATTACAAAAATTGTTTGCAACTAGTTTAAAACAATTTTAAAATTATGAATTAAAAATTATAATTATGTCTTAGTGCAGTAGCAATTATCCATTAAAAAAAAACAAATGCATTTACTAAATAGCAAATGATTTTAAAGTCTCCATGAGTCCATTTTCCAAAGCCTATGGTTGACAAAGGTTTGTCATTCTAACAATAGACTACACCCAATGGGTGGAAATTGAACCACTTGCAAAGCTTACTGAGACTAATGCTTAACAATTAGTTTAGTAGAATGTTATTTATAACTTTGGTCTCTGAGAATAATTATTACAGACAATGAGACTTTAGCTCACTAGGAAGGTATTTACATTTTTTTTGCAAAGATCTTCATCTTCATATTCAACTAGTACACACAACAATCGTACATCCTCAAATGAATGAAGAAATTGAAGTTACAAGTTGAATAATTTTTTAAGGATTAAAGACACAACTTGATAAAACTAAGGAAAATGGGCTAAAAAAGTTTTCTAATATACTCTAGGCTTCTCATACAACTTCAAAAACTCCAATGAAAGAAACACCTTAAAATTTATATGTCGACTTAAGGCTATTGTTTCTGTAGATATTGATGTATGAAGGCCCAAAGTTCAAACTCCTGATGCCATTAATGTTGGGAAGTAAACTACGCAGCGAACATAAACTAAAAAAAGAAAATGCAGCGAAAAATAAAGAGCACCAAGATTTAAAATGGAAAATTTTGAAACCGAGAAAAAGAAACCCGGAGCTACACCGCACCAAAAAATTGACTATGAAAATTTGAAAGAAATATTATGTATCTCTTTTCTCTTTCTTTCTCTTTGTCTCTCTTCACTTCACAATTCATTGACACCACATAATAGAGAAAGAGACACACTTAACTTACTACAGGGGATGTAACCCTTCAAGTTAAACATAAAAAATGAGAAAGAAAACTACCCAACCTAACTTACAACATTGTTGTGCTCTTCTCTCTGTCTCCAATCTGACTGGTAGTGATGTAATACTGGGTATGGAGTGTCACAGGGCTCCACTCTTTTCCTCCAAGTCAGCACGAGTGTATAGCATCATATCACTCGAGTATACATTGTCATAGTTTTATAGAAAAAATTGAGGGGAGGTCTGTGACGCCCCAAGATCTAATATAAAAGAATTTCATATTTTATCTTTTAATTGATCTATCAGAGCCTCTAATGATCTACTAGTACAAACAAGACCAGCAAAAACAACTATAAATCATTTTTCATCAACTTGTAATTTTATATTCATTTCATGCACAATAACTAGGAATTCATTTTATAGCATTAGTCTATCATTAACATTCTCAATTACAAAAGAATAAAATCAAAATACAAAAAACAAAATAAAACCTAAAAACCCTGCTCAACCTCACTCTACTAAGTCCTGACCCCTACCTAAAAATATATAAAAATCAGAGAATGAGCTAACAACTCAGTATGTTATCCAAACCTACAACTGTAATCAATGCATAACAGTAAAAATAATATGCATGTAATCATTCATTTCATATCAATATAAACATGTAGCAGTAAAAACATGTAATCATTAATCAATATAAACATGTAGCAGTAAAACCATGTAATCATTAATATGAATATATCAATTATTGTAACTAATAGGTTTCGACACAAGTTGTGTAATCTAAAAAATTAGAGATTATGAACCATATAGGGAATAAATATGTTCTTCCATTCATATACCCTATTTCATATAAATCAATATACATGTCATATCAAGTAAATACTATACAATTGTTGTATGCATGTCATATAGTAATAATACATGAATATCATGTTCCAATCAAATGCAACATATCATGTATCAATCTTATCAGTCTTTTTACTTTTGTCATATGTATCAGTCATGTCCTATATCATAATCATATCATATTATATTATATCACTTATATAATTTATCATGTATACTCATGTCATGTGTATATATAAGCAAGAACATCTAGCTACTTGTGTTGTTTTTTTTGTATCAAGATATAGGCCAACCCTACATAAATCCACCTTAATCATATAGGTCATATTACTAGGAATCAGTCTCATATCACATATCACAAATCATGTAACTTTAATATAAAAAGTTGACCATTTGTTGTATATCGGCATAACATATTATATCAATCTAGATGTATATCATGTCTAAATATAGTAGCTCCAAATCATTTTGTAACTAGTATTACTCTATATATTTCATTCAAAAATACATTTATACAAAAATAACTAGTAAAATCCCAATATAAATCACGCAAAATGCTCATAATAATGATATCTATCACATACCAAAAGTTACACAATGAAAGTTCAATAAAATGAGAAATATTACATTTTTATAAATTTTAAGATGAATCAAACAGAAAAAAAAAACATAAAATCAATGAAAACTGAGATAGGATTAAAGTTGCATACCACGATCAAAACACTTTTGTAACTGGGAGGATGGACGAAAAATGCCCCGGTGCAAGCTTTTTCTCTCCTCTAACCACTTTCTCCTTCTCGACAAAAGATGAAATGGGGCTTGGGGTAATGACTTAGGTTATTTTAATTAGAGTAGTAGATTTAGATATTTAAAAAATAAATTTTCAGACCTAACATCGCAAAACTCAAGACCCCAACGACGCAACGCTCCCACAATTTCCAAAACATTCGAGAATTGGCAAAATAGGCACAGCATTGTAGCGCTCCCTTAGCCAATTTTTAGAAATTTAGGAAAATTAAATTTGTGACTTTTACAAAGCCCCGCCTACAACCGCCAGCAAGTTTAACCGACAAAATGAGTTATGAGTCACCAGTACAACCTAATTGATCGACACAACCAAAAACCACATATAACTAATAATCAGTAACGAGGATAAGCTTCACTATCATTTAGATCTTCCAAAAGCTCCTCATAAAACTTCACACAAGAGTGTTTCATACCACCAAAGAATAGCTTAACATTTTAACAGAGAGTGAGACATCAACCCATCACTAATAAAGATCTAACGAACACTAGACTTAACATTAAATGTTAACAATGGTCATCAACAATTGCAACCAACATTGCTTAACCTCCATCCTTAGATTGTTGTCGCTTAACTTTCATTATCTGATTCTTACCACTTGACTTCCAAAGTCCGACTATCGTCATCCATCTACCAACTTCTAGCTCTTGTCAACAAGCTACTCAACTAACCTTATGTGATATTCTCCGCCTTTCATCACTTCTCTTGCGATCTTTAAAGGACATCAAATAATTATTCTCAATTGTATAATCCCATCTTCAATTGAGAAAGGCAAAACTTTATAGTTTCAAATTATATGATGAATTATTTTAGCCAAGAAAACTTAATTATTTTTTTATCATTATTGGCACGCAACAATCTATCAAAGCTTCAAATAATCTCACCATAAGACTACAATTAATTATCATTATCAAAAAAAAAAAAGATTAGGCATAAGCACGGAAATAAGACTTAAGCGTTTGGGACGGCTTTTTTATTGCTTTTTCAAGTAGCTTTTAAGTACAAAAATTTCAACTTTTGTACTAGAAAGTTATTTTAAGAAGAAGTAAGAAAGTCGTCCAATTTAGAGCGACTTTATTACTACTTCTTAAAGGCAACTTTTCAATAATTTTTGTAATAGCAGTAAGAAAGTCCTCTCAAACAAAGCCTTAGGCTATGTTTGCTATCTCTTATTATATTTTTCTTTTTTTCTTTTTTTTGGGTCAGGGCATTATAATTACTATTTTTTCAATCATAATTTTTTTTTTCCTAAATCAGTTTTTTTTAAGAATTTTAAAAGAAATTGTACAACACAATTTCTTCATTAAAAAAAAATTCTTCCTTATTGTTGGTAGCTTTATTGATCACAAAAAAAAGATTAAAAAAAATAATAATAAAAGCCAACCAAAGCCTTACCCTCAAAACCAAACTTATTGAGAATAATAGTTATAATAAATATTGACGCATCAACCAAAAACAGTAAGACTTTCTAGCAAATGTTTGAAGGAAATGAAAAGCTTAACCGAGCAAAATTCTAGTTTTGTAGCTGAACCAGCTTCTGATGCACAGCAAATAAGGGAAAAAATAACAAATGATTCTGGCTTACAAAATAAACAACAATGAAATAACAAATGTTCTTCAACTAATTTGAATTTACTTGCAGAAAAGCCATACCTTTTTCTTCCAGGAAATATTTCATTGAGTAGAGACCAATTCAGAAGCAGGGCTATAAATAGGCAGCTCCAAATATGCAAAATGGTTGAGGAGAACACCATTTGATTTTTTTTATGAGTAATTTTCATTTGAAATTGAATCTTCGGCTCACTGATTCATAGCTGGGCACATGGATAACTGTAAAAAAGAGAATCAGAAAAAAAAAATGATTCAGGAGAATATTTAGGCTTCGTTTGGGGCGGCTTTCTTGCTGCTTTTTAAAACAGCTATCTAATATAATTTTATACTAAAAAGTCGTTTTAAGAAGTAGTAAGAAAGCCGTCCCAAAAGGCGCCTTAGTCAGTATAGGAACTGTGGATGTTATCTGTGATCAGAACATACCATCTCCCCAGGAGGCCATTGTGAGTGGCGAGGAAATTATCTTTTCAGAAAGAGAGGCGATGTCTTTGACTGTAACCTCATCAACAGCTTTAAGGAAATGCTCGATCGGCTTCCTGCAGATTCATTTGGTCAAAAGTTGAGTCAAAGTAGCTAAAGAAGAAAAGGACATAGAAACATATTGGAAATTCAATTTTCATTTGCTTGATTATATCATGCTTCGAAGAGATGATGATGGAATAAAAAGAATCAAGAAAATGTTAATATAACAAAATCATCCCAGTATATAATTGCAAACCTATGTTGCACCGATACACCTATTTATGAAGGCATCTTGTATCCGATACACCGATATGCCTCCGATACGGCACCGATACGTGTCAAATATGGCAAAGCCATATCCAATTAAAATAATATTTAATTTCAAAAGGACACACGTATCCGATACACGTGTCCATTGAAAAAAAAAAAAGTCACCAATCAACCTAACATTTATAAAAAACATACAGATAGCATGATGCTTAACCCATTATCCAAGATGATGGGCATCACCATTCAAGAAATCTTAACCCGGCATAAAATATTCAACTGATTCAAACATCATATAACGTTCTTGTAGGCAAAGGAGCAAAATTCATTTTTCACTAGTACAGATCAATCTAAGAAGAGATTTAGTTTCTCCTTCACATTCATAATCACCTGAAAGAAGGAGAGTTCGAACTAAAATACAGAGATTAAGCAAGTATATGTTGGGAAGCTTAATCACATAAAGGTTGAGACAGTAGGGATAGAGGACACAAACATAAAATCAATTAAGTGAGTAAGATTAGATATGGGGAAACTGATATAAAATTAATTATTCGTAAGGGCATAATTTCAGGTGAAAAATTAATTCTGAGATAAAATAATGAATTATTATACCACATACCTTAGGAAGAGAGAATAATTATACGTGATAACTTAAATGGGCACATAAGTTCAAGTAGAATAGATTATGAAAGAATTCATAATATCATGAAATAGGAAATAGAAATATGATGGGAGAAGTTATGCTCAATTTTGCATAGCCCATACAACAGTAAACATATGCATCAAGAAATAAGCAAAAGGAGATTTACACATATCATTTAAATCGTCTATATTTACATATTTAACACTAAAATATATGAGTTGAGCTGAGCTCGAGTCACCATTGACTTGAGCTTGAGTTTGAGCTTGATTAATTAACCAAGTTCAAGTTTAATTATATGAGTTTCAAGTCGACTCACAAGATGACTCATTTATTATAAAATAGAGAAGATCATTCTCATTCAATCAATTATTATAATAACATTATAAAAAAATAAAAGTTAAATGAGAAATAATAAGAAATCAGTTGAAAAAAGAAAAAGAGAGATAATTTTCAAATATTTTTTAATGATTTTATATTAAACTTAATATTTTAATATATTTTAAGTGTATTTTATATTAACATTTTTAACCGAACCAACTTAAGAATAAACATGTCTAGTCAGGGCCTCAAGTTTGGCTTGTTAGCTCATCCAATTTAGCTCACGAACTATTTATCGAGTTGAGCCTGAATCTAACTGACTCAATTACATCCTTGCATAATTTAAAATTACTGTTGAGGTTAAACCTAGCCATGATTAGATTTTGGTTAAATCTAGCTATGGTTAGATTTGACAATCATAAACTTTCACCCTATTTACCACTTGATGCATTGCTCTTGTTGTTTAAATCCAATGATGATCTTGCTGGAAAAACCCAATGATTTCCCCTTATGCAAGTGGATTATCATAAGAGGGGTGAATGACACCAAAAGGTGCCGCATCGGAGTCACTAATATTTTTTGCATTGACATAAATCTCATTAGCGTCCAGAGTAAGAGATTTCTTCGTACTCGTCGAATTCATGATTAGTTATGAGAGCTTTCAATCGTTATATCTCCGATGACGTTACAGCTCAGGGACCTCATGGGGTTATCTCCACTACAATACAACCTCCAAGAGAATGCCCAAAAAGAGTTGCGCTTATGCAACTTTTTATCCGTATCTCGATAATAATAATATGTACCAGAGAATTCTTGAGAAAAATGCTAGCATGATCAATCTTCAAAGAGAATTCATTTATTTTGTTAATTATAGTTTTTTAGTTCTGTAAATTCAAATTAGTTATCATGCATTTTTAAAGTTCTGTTTAATTTACTTTGAATTTTTTTGTTCACATCTCAGGTTTGATCTCCCAAACAACCTACTGCAAAACCTCAGCTTTTTGATGACTCAATTAGGAGATCTGGCCTATATTAAGAAAGATAGAGGTATACTTAAAAAGACTTAGTTAAAAAGTTATAGAAATAACTTTTTTATTAGATTTAAATGAAAATTTGACTTTTAATAGTATACAATGGAGAAAGAAGATTCATCTAGCCGACCCTATGTAGTCGGATAAAAGCTTGATGATATTGTTGTTATATTGTTCTTCTGATGTACATTAAGGAATATCTCGTGTTTGATCTCCCAAATAATTTTTCCTTCTTATCCTTTTGAGCATATACGTGCAAAAGGTTAGAGTAGCTCCAGTGGAAGATAAGATTAGATAGAGTCGCCTTAGATGGTTTGGTCACATAAAGCGGCGGCCTTCCGATAACCAAGTTAGGAAAATAGATGTATTAGATTTAACTTATGTCAAGAAGGATAGATGTAGACCTAAAAATACTTGGTTAGAAAATATTAGAAATGGCCTTTCTTTATTAGATTTAAATGAGAATTTAATTTTTAACAGGTTACACTAGAGAAAAAAGATTCATGTAGCCGACCCCATAATGGGATAAAGGCTTGATGTTGTTATTTTATCCTTTTGATGTACATAGCGTGGGGTTATAACCAGCTACAAGGTAATAGCCAACATGGCAGATTTCGAGCAAATAGATTTAAATTGCAATAGTAAATTTAGAATTAAATGTGTCGAAAGAAGTATCATTGGGATTTATTGGGGAGTCATATTCATTCATCCAGCCAATTTCAGTTATGGTGAACAAGTGAGTTTTGCGAGCATAGAGGGGCGAAGAAAGAAAAGAATATCTGTCGTTATCAGGATTTATAAGAAGAGATAACTAGGGCTCATATGAAATGGTTCACAGATTAGCAAACAAAAGAAATCGGTAGTTAATCAAAGTGACAATTTTGATCAATTAAGAAATCTGTAGCGGTATGAACATAAATTTGTTTTGAGTGTTAAACAAATAAATATAGGTGATTATATATATATATATATATATATATATATATATATA